TGAAATGAGAGAGTTGGAAGGAACCTTGGAGGTCTTCTAGTCCAACTCCCTGCTTGAACAGGAGACCCTAGACCATTCCAGACAAGTGGATGTCCAGTCTCATCTTGAAAGCCTCCAGTGATGGAGCCCCCAAGACTTCTGAAGGCAACTTCTGTTCCATGGGTTGATTGTTCTCACTGTCAGGAAGTTTCTGCTTGGTTCCAGATTACTTCTCTCCTTGATTAGTTTCCATCCATTGTTTCTTGTTTTGCCTTCAAGTGCTTTGGAGAATAATTCCCCCCCCTCTTCTTTGTGGCAGCCCCTCAAATATTGGAACTCTGCTATCATGGTCCTTCTGTTCTCTAGACTAGCCATGTCCAGTTCCTGCAACCGTTCTTAATACGTTTTAGTCTCCAGCCCCCAACTGAACAAGCAGAGATTCAGCGTGGAAATAAGGAGGAATTTTCTGACACCGAGAGTAATCAACCAGTTGCGGGAGCTTCATCCCTGGAGGCTTTCAATAAGAGATTGGACAGCCATTTGTCAGAACTGGGGTAGGGCTGTGATGGTGAACCTATGGCACGCAGAGTCATAATTGCCAGCAGGCCAGCCGTCAGCTGATTTTCAGCCTTCCAGAGGGCTGGGGGCAGAGGTGAGTTCCGGCAGCTGCTGCTGCCGGTTCACTCAATGGCATGCTGAGCACACACAGGCTTGATATGCGCTGTGCGCACAAGCGCAGTAACACTAAAATTGCTCTGCACATGTGCAGAAGCAAAAAACAAGATAGCAGTGCCTATGGTGCCCCCGGGAAAACCGGTTTGGCGGCATGGCAGGTCTGGGTCACTGACGGTTGCGCGACCCAGTCTGCCAAGTTACTACCATTTTGGTTGAACTGGTCCGATCTGATAGGAACCCACCTCTGGCTGGGGGAGGCCGTTTTTGACCTCCCCAAGCTTCAGGAACGCCTCCGGAGGCTGGGGAGAGTGAAAACTCCCCCCACTGCATGGTTGTGCACGCATGTGCGGGAGTCACATGTGCATGCCTAGGTGGGTGGGGCGCATTGAATTGTGAGTGTGGGCATGCACGCACAATTTTGGCACGCCTTTACAAAAAGGTTCGCCATCAAGATGGAAGGGAGAACGAGAGGAGGAGAGAGGGTAGGAAGGGGAAGGGATAGAGAGTAGGGGAGAGATAAGGGAAGAAGGAAGGGAAAGGAGACGAGGAAAGAAGAACGTAGGGAAGGGAGGGAGGGAAAGGAAGAGGGGAGAGGAGAGGAGAGGAAGAAGAGGGAAGAAAGGTAGAGAGGAGAAGAGGAAGATGGAAGGGAGGAGAGAAAGAGAGAAGGAGAGAGGGTAGGAAGGGGAAGAGGAAGAGAGGAGGAGGGGAGAGGTAAGCAAAGAAGGAAGGGAAAGGAGGAGGGAAGGAAGTAGAGAAGGGAGGGAGGGAGAAAAGAAAGGGATTTATTTATTTATTCATTTGTTTGTTTGTTTGTTTGTTTGTTTGTCTTGTATGCCGCCCACTCCCGGAGGACTCCGGGCAGCTCACAAAAGACAAGGGAAAGGGGGGAANTACTCTGGGGCCAGCCAGAGGTGGCATTTGTCGGTTCTCCGAACTACTCAAAATTTCCGCTACCGGTTCTCCAGAACCTGTCAGAACCTGCTGGATTTCACCCCTGCTCCACCCTCCCCCAGAGATGCCCTTGCAAGCTTTAAAGGCTAAAATTGTTTCACCAACACCTCTGGCTACTGACAAAGACCTGCCCACCAAAACCCAGTCAAGGGCTTAGCTTAGCTTGTGGTGAAAATCACCTCAAGTCATAATATGGTTTCTCTGGCTATGCAGACAAAACAATTATGTTAGATCAGTGATGGCGAGTGCCCAAACAGCCTGAAAACGACCCAGAAATCACCACGGCAAACAGCCTGTTTTGGGGGTGTTTTCCAGCCATTTTCCGGTGCTCTGGAACCTTTGAAGACCTGCTGGCCAGCGCACATGCGCACCAGAAAACAGAAGAGCAGCTGGCGACAGCGTGCATGCCCACAGAGAGGGCTCTGTATGCCACCTCTGACACCTGTGCCATAGGTTCGCCATTACAGTGCTAGACTAACCTGAGTTTAGTGTTATGCAGGTTGCTACTAGGTCACTGGATAATGGACACAACTAAGCAGTGGTGGGTTGCAGGCAGTATGCCCCAGTACGGGCGTACTGGAGCCTGCCCGGAGCACTGGATACCGTTCCATTCCGGTACTCCGGAGGGCCCACCCACCCGCCCGAGCTCCTTACCTGTCTTTTAAGGCTTCCGTGCTTCTGGGCATGCGCATGGCGCATACATTGCCTGCACGACACTCCGCGGAGCTGCTGGAGTGTTGCAGAGGCTCACGGAGGCACTAAGATGCATGTGTGTGTTGTGCGCATGTGTGCACACACTGCACACGTCCGTGTGGACGCCGCCAGGATCCAGAACCCACCACTGCAACTAAGCCACTATGTTTTATACTTCAATACCTCAGACGGCTGGCTGTTAAACCACCAGAGACCCTTCTCTGGAATTTGAGACTTGCCCTTTCTTTGTCACCATTCCACCCCTTGCCAACCTCCAATGCTCAGAGGGCTTCTGAGCGTATTTGCTGGCAGGGCTAATTACTTAAAAAGACACAGATCTACCCTGGCTCCTTTACAACTTTCACGCGCACAGGCTGAATACTCCCACACCCACCCACATGCTTGTCAGCGGCTGCATCCCCCATAAAGATTTCCTCGTGAGGAAATCCCCCCTGCGGCTCAGAACCAATGTTGCAAAAAAAAAAAAAATGCTGCAAAACCAGAGCAATGAGGCCAGATCATCACAGGGGTACAGGGGTGGCACCCTGCTCATGGGTCAGCCCAGGCCTTATGTGGCAATAATGTATCGGCATTGTCCCTCTTCTGCCACTTTCTGCAAATAGAACATGAAATGAGAGAGTTGGAAGGAACCTTGGAGGTCTTCTAGTCCAACTCCCTGCTTGAACAGGAGACCCTAGACCATTCCAGACAAGTGGATGTCCAGTCTCATCTTGAAAGCCTCCAGTGATGGAGCCCCCAAGACTTCTGAAGGCAACTTCTGTTCCATGGGTTGATTGTTCTNGCCTTCCACCCCGAGCATCCCCCCGCGCGAATGCTGGCTGGGGAATTCTGGGAGTTGAAGTCCAGACATCTTCAAGTTGCCAAGGTTGAGAAACACTGGCCTAGAGAATGCAGAACATGACTTATGACAGTGTAATGTTGCTGGATTAAGGAACTCAAATTTTGGGATCTGGCTTTTTGTTGATTTTTTTATTTGGCTTTGAAGAAAATGTAAAGGATAAAATTGATAAATTAGGCTCCATAAAATTCAAAAAAAGGTCCAGTTTATAAGGTTTAGGTTTTTTAAAGAGCCTCTGTGCATATTTAAATTTCTGCATAATTGAAGTTGCCTGTTTTACCCCTTTAACATCTTAAAATACAACAAAGATTGCTTTTGGGGCATAATACAATGCAGTGGGACATTAGGGCCTTGGGATGAGATGCTGGCTTCAGCATGTTTATACTTCCGGTGGGTTGTCCTATTGGTGGTTTATAGAATGAAAGAAGATTGGTGATTGTAGCTGATGAAAGAGAAAAATAGTAGTGTGTCTATGGAGATTCTAAATCATCTAAGTCATGATCATCCCCAAAGTGCTTTTCCAAAAGGCAACTGGACTTTCTTGGGGTTGTTTTCTTTGAAAACATTTCACTTGTTATCCAAGAAGTTTCTTCAATTCTAACTGACATGTGGGAATGGAAGGATTTATATTCTTTACAGTCATCTGCTTGTTAGTTCTCTGGGAGTCATTGGGGCCACTTGGGAGTTTATTTGTATCCTCTGAGTCACCTGAATCGGAGTGTAAACGGGTGTGGAACCTTCTTGGGACTGCAACCTGCCCTTTCAGCCATCTCAAGAAGGTTCCACACCTGTTACACTCTTATTCAGGTGAAGATACAGATAAACTCCCAATTGATCCCAATGACTCAGAATACTAATGACCAGATGGCTGCAAAGAATATAAATCCTTCCAAACTGTAATGAAAAGTTACCAATCCTTTTCAAATGATTGGCACATGGTATTCTCACAAAGTAATCACATCTCAGGGAATTTTGAAATTTTACGTCATCTGTTCATATTCAGAGGGACAGTAATAGGAAAAATGAAATGTCTGATGGAGTCCTATAGTAGTTTCAAACTTCATTTGTCTATTTGTCGGAAACAGAGTCCTTCAAGTCATTAGCATTGGCCTGCTTCAGAAAATAAAGGGGATGCTATTAATTTGCTTTCTCTATGCAACTACTTAAAGAATTCAGTGTTCCCTATATTTTGCCCCTTAAGTCCCACTTCCCAAAAATCAGTGTTTCACCTCATTCATTCTAAATAATGCCCATCTCTGATCTATAATAAACAATTTATTTAATTAAATATTTTGTTGCAGGTGCGAGAAGATGTATTAAACTCATTAAATAACAATTTTCTCCAAACATTAAACCAAGCATGGAATGATCACCAGACAGCAATGGTGATGATTAGAGATATTCTGATGTATATGGTAAGTAAAATCTGAAATTCTGGTTACAAAAATGATCAATTAAAATGCAATTTTTTTTTACTCCATACTGTTGGAAAGATTGATTCAAACTGACATAATTAACTGATACACAGAAGAAAAAAACCTTTGCTTCTATATTTTATCTGGCTTTAAAAATACATTATTTGGCACATGCTTTTATATTCTTCCTCATTATTACATATAGTTTTGTTTTCTGAATTTATATTTTTAATCTATTTTTGTACATGCCAACCAGGGTAGATTTGATTTAAATCATGATTTAAATCACTAGTAAAAAGGTTTCATTTAAATCAACTCGATTTGAATAATAATTTTTAAAGCGCAACTGTCAGCTCCTCTGACTTGCTGTTGACTTACCGACAGTCCCAATATTGAAATAGAAATAGAATAATAGAGTTGGGAGGGACCTTGGAGGTCTTCTAGTCCAACCCCCTGCCTAGGCAGGAAATCCTACACCACTTCAGAATATTGCAGATTATATAGCCTCATGCTTCATAACTAAGCTCCGTTTCATGCTGAATAAACCAAATTATTAATGTATCTTAAATAGAAAACTATCTTTAGATAGATTTTTATTCCAAAAACATTTTATTAAAATAAATTTGATAAAAAACAAAAAAATCCAATTTAAATTTTAAAAATTCAATTTTTTAATTTTTTAAAAAAAGCATTGATTTTTATCTACCCTGATGCCAACACTAAAGGCAGCATATAATAATGAAAAATCATATCTGTTCAGTTTTAATCATCCTGGGTTATGCCTTGTCCCCCTTTTTTGTTTTCATTTAAAAGAATACTACTTTAAGGATTGCAAAAACAAGTTTTGCTAAGCCTGTTTTATGTATTTAGTGTTAAGGTTTTATTATTCCTAGCCTGGAAGGTTTGAATATATTGGAGAAACTTTCCACATTTGTATTGCATTAGTAGTTCCAATTAGTGAAATACAAGGAAGTATTTCTTTTTCCTTTATTGAGGTTGGAATTACAACTAATAAGGCTTGGCAGAAATGCAGATTTGGTAACTAAATAGTAATTTGGAGTATATGGGAACAGCCCCATTGCACTTGTTAATATTTTGAAAGAAGCTGCACCTTGTTCTGATTCTAAGAAAAAGATGCCCTTGACCCAAGAATATTCTGCTAGATAATTATCTTTACATTCATACATTTTCTAGAAACACTAGGACGGGGGTTAGCAAACTGCGGCTCTGGAGCCGCATGTGGCTCTTTCCTCCCTCTGCTGTGGCTCCGACACCAGTCAGCGCCACAATTTTGAGAGGAGCTTCGGGGGGGGGGGGGAAGCACAATGCACCAGGAAAAGACTCTATGGCAAGGGGAAGGTTTTCCAGTTGTCTCCACAATTGATAGGGCTTTCAGTTATGACAGGTAGTGGAAAAAGTACGCCGCACTAGGAAGAGACTATGGTGGGGGAACTGAACTTCTGGTCAGCTCCAGAATTGAACAGGGGGCTTCCGGTTAGGACCTTTTCGGTGGGAAACGGGTCCAAATGGCTCTTTGAGTGTTTAAGTTTGCCGACCCCTGCACTAGGACATTTATTTTCCCAAATTCAGATCATTGCACAACCTTAACAGCTAATATTATCACCATCCTATATAAGCTTGGAATAAATAAATAAATTTATCATTTATCTGATTAATAGGCAAACATGCACTATCCAGTTTAATTTATTCATCATTTTGAAACTGTTGAACACCAATTTATTTAAACTATCTTACTATTTTTATGTTCTAATTAGGCTATTAAATGTGAATATAAGTAGATTGTGGCATTATTTAATAGCGATGGTATATAGTTCCTTTTGTTTACTACATACAGTACTTAAAAAGATGTTAGCCTTCCTCTAAAAACTCAAATGGTCACTCTGAAATATTCCAAGTAGTCACTCTTTTTGCAGTTGTAATCGTAGCATCTGAAACAATATTACACTTTTTACTGCATTTTAATCAGATATTGTAGTTTCATACATGTGAAATCACATGTAAACTCTATCCTATTTGAAATAACTAAAATTATATAAAATTTGAAATAGGTGTATGCACGCGCCACACATATGTTAACATAATTTATTATATGTTAAATTTATATGTATTGTAAACAATGGATTGGAGCCCAGTTTAATCTAGATTATATGTTTGTTACCATTGAACTCATTCGTAATTTAAGTCCCTTTTATTTCAATAGATCTATTCCAAGTATGACTAGGCTTGAGTCCAATCCAATAATGATTAATATACTTAGCCAGTATACATTTTTTATAAATGTAATAGTAATCTTGATAATATTGAGTGCAATATTTTGGTAATGAACTGAATAAAAGCGTATTTTAGAGATGTTGAGGCAGATTTAAATGATTCTACTATAGATAATATATGTTATATAGATGCTTTGCATTTATATATTTTGCTTTTAGGACCGTGTGTATGTACAACAAAACAATGTGGAAAATGTCTACAATTTGGGATTAATAATTTTTCGAGATCAAGTTGTACGGTACGGGTGCATTAGAGATCATCTCCGACAGACTTTGTTAGACATGATTGCAAGGGAACGGAAAGGAGAAGTGGTGGATAGGTATGTCTCCACAAATAAATTACATTTTACATCATTTTGGATAAATCTATGGTTTGGAGCTTTTTTGCTTTACTTCTCAATCACTTTTTTGTTCAATCTCATATTTCATTTTAAATTTTTTAACTCTCAAATTTTAGTTTTTTTGATCTATTATGAGGGAGATCAACTTAGTATCTATACAGTTCACAGTACCTACCGCAACCAAGGTAGCTGAACATATAATCACAGCTGTACCTTATCTTATATGGCTATCACAGCTGTACCTTATCTTATATGGATATCAAACTAGTGGAATTCTGGACAGCAAAAGAATAAAGTAATGACCAATCTGTTGAAAAGAAACAACTTGAGGTCCCCATAGAAATCTCTTTTCAAACAATTCACTGCATTGTTCCATTAAATTAACACCCATTTACAAAAAGCCAACAAGTCAGGGCTATTGGTATCCCTGAAAGGAGACTGTTCCATAAGGCAGTTGCTATGAAAGAGAGGAGGGCATGCTTCCAGGGTACCAGGTGACAGTGCTTCATTGAGTGAGCTCAGAGTTTGCCCACTCTGCAAGATCTGGTGGGATGTGCAGAAACCATTAGGGATAGCAATGTTGCATGGAACTTGGCCTGATGTCATATAGGGCTGTAAAGATGAAGACCATTGCTTTGAATTGCACCCAGAAACTTCTTGTCACTTTATTATTCAGGAATAAAATGAAGTTATTTCCAAAATGTACACCAATAAATGTTGGGGTAAACAATTTTCTAAAAACTGACACTGGTTTCTTTTTTCCTTTTCTTTCTTTCTTTTTTGGCTTTGCCAATGATTGTATACCTTTGGGTGATAATAAAGAAAGACCTTTCTCAGTACTTCTTCTAGCTATTTCATTTCTTGAGAGCTGTGGTACAGATAGCATTTACTTTCGGGTGAAACATTGAATAGATTTGGAAATATTACAGGAAACACATTGAATAGTTAGCAAATATTAATTTCACTAAAATTAACCTAATCTGCAAATTCTACTGTTTTGACAGAGGAGCAATAAGAAATGCTTGCCAGATGTTAATGATTCTAGGCCTTGAAGGAAGATCAGTCTATGAAGAAGACTTTGAAGCTCCATTTCTGGAGATGTCAGCAGAATTCTTTCAGGTACAATGCTTTTCAGTATTTACAAATGGGAATAAGAACACCAACACCTCAAATTTACAAATTTCAGTTATTTCATTCCAGATTAATAAACACCAGTCTGAATTGTTATTGGTCCCTAACATAGATTTGCTTCAGATTTTCCCTTTGCTCTGAACATGACCCTGTGTTCATTCAGCATTGGCCTTAGATGATATTGGTGGATATTAATGCATAGCAGATACAAGGGTTAACATTTAGTCCCTTAAGCAATTACTGCTAAGTGCAACTGAATGGGTTTTGGTTTACTTTCCGTAGTGTTTCATGTAGTGTTCTATTTATCTTTATTTTATTATAGATGGAAAGTCAGAAATTTTTAGCAGAAAATAGTGCTTCAGTTTATATAAAGAAAGTAGAAGCTAGAATTAATGAAGAAATAGAACGTGTGATGCACTGTCTTGATAAATCAACTGAAGAGCCAATTGTCAAAGTTGTTGAGAGGGAGCTTATTTCCAAGCATATGAAGACCATAGTGGAAATGGAAAATTCTGGTCTAGTTCACATGTTGAAAAATGGAAAAACAGAAGGTAAGTCTGTGCAGTGCTATCTGCAACAATAGTGAAGTCCCATGTGGGTGGGTGCTAATTGAGACATTCCAGGTGGTTTCAAAATGATAACAAAAAAGAAGCAAAGCAAGCTGATTTCAGATGGAGAGGGCTATGATCAAGAAAACCTGCTCCTGGAAAATTGGAAATTTTAATGAAATATCAGAAATATCATATTTGGATTATTTGCTGTGTAATGTTACAAATATATTAGTACTAGATAATATAAACTGTATGCATATATTTACTGCAGATCTTGCGTGTATGTACAAATTATTTAGTCGTGTCCCAAATGGTTTAAAGACAATGTGCGAATGTATGAGTACCTATTTGAGAGAACAAGGTAAAGCACTTGTATCTGAAGAAGGTGAAGGAAAGAACCCAGTGGACTATATTCAGGTAATCAGAGCCTTTAAATACTCATTTTTTTTCTTGTGATGGAAATGTTTCCTTTAGCAGAAGTGTACTTACATAATTCAAGTACTGCTTTAACAATGTTTCATAGTAGAGGTAAGCAAGGAGAAATTATTGAGAATTATTTCCCCCCTAAAATTTAAATATGTATTTACATATTAATACATTTTATTGGCTTCTCAAATTAGCTCATTTTTTCATGAGGTAAGCTAGATTTTTCATGACTTTAAACATATATCTCAGAAAAATTATTTCCTCTCAAATCCTAGAAGGCTTATAATTTTAATCTGAAGGAGGCATTTTGAATAAACTTTCAATTTACAAGAGGAATTTTAAAAAGTATTCACAAAGCAAAATACCAATGGAGATTCTCAATCATCCAGGTCATGCTTGTCCCAAAGGAGCTTTTTTCAAAAGGCAAGTGGACTTTCTTGATTTTTTTCTTTGAAAACATTTTGCTTCTTATCCAAGAAATTTCTTCAGTTCTAATGACTGGTGGGGAATGGAAGGATTTATATTCTTTCAGTCATCTGCTTGTTAGCTCTGAGAATCATTGGGGCCACTTGGGGTTTCTCTGTATCCTCTGAGTCACCTTAATCAGAGTGTAAATGGATGTGGAATGTCTTGGGACTGCTGAAAGGACTTTGTTGTAAACAGGAGATAGGTGGTGTTGTATCCCTCCCCCTCTGTTGAGGGAGGCCTGTTCAATTTTGACATAGATGTCAAAATTATCTATAGCACCCTTAGAATGCTAACAACCAGATGTCTGCAAAGAATATAAATGCTTCAATTCTCCACCAGTCAGTTAGAATGAAAAGCTTCTTGGATGAGAAGCAAAATGTTTTCAAAGAAAAAAAAGGTCCAATTTTTAGAAATGCACCTTTGAGACAAAGAAAAAGAAAAATATTTTCACTTTCAGTAAAGTATTGAATTTGAATTTATTGAATTTGAATTTATTAAAATTTATAGGCCGCCCTTTTCCCTGAGGGGACTCAGGGCGGCCTACAATCACAAGGGAGGGAAGTGCAACATCAAAAACAAAACAAAATGTGAACAAAGAAAAAAAATAGTAAGACAGAACTTTCTTTCAAGAATCAAATAAGCGGTCGGTTGAATTAGGTACCTA